CGCCGCCCGCAGCACGCCAGGAGCAGAGGCGGCGCGGCCGAGGGCGCCCTGGCCCCTCGTGGGCACTCCGTGCTCCTCTCGCCCTCGGAAACACCTTCCCCTCCAGGTCCCGCGGAAGCATCACCATCTTGGGGACGTCTCCTTGGGCCGCCCTGCGGGCCTCTGGGGCCAGAACGCGAGGCTTGCCCACCAGCTCCCCTCCGCCCGGTGTCTCTGCCCTGGGATCTGTGAGTAACGTCGGCTTTGCTCGGGGGATCAGAGCTTCGAGTGACGGCAGAGTGCAGAGTGCATGGAGGAAAGACGCCAGAAGGACGCCCCCCAGCCCCCTGTGCTGGAGAGCCTGTGTGGAGCAGGCTGAGGGGCGGAGACCCCTCCCCATCTCGCCCCCTCCCACTTGTTGGCAGCTGTGCGGTCTAGTAGGCGTTTGGATTGGGGCAGTTCCATGGGTTGGGCTCAAGGCCCGGCGGCTTTGGCTCCTGGGTTCTCCGGACCTTGACACCCCTCTCCGGAGATGCCCTGGGGTGCGCGGGGGCAGCTCCCAGCGGTGGCCTGCTCTGCTCTGTGCCCTACCTTCCTGCGTCTGCCGCAGCCGTCGCCAGGCAGCAGCACCAAGGCCATGCTCTGTGGCCTCCCGCTTCCCCGCTGGGCGGCCCGGCCCGATGCCCACTGCAGGTCTCGGGCCAGAAACCAAGGGAGGAGCCACGGGGAGCCGGGGTGCCACCGTCTTGGGCTTCGAGACAGCCAGGGAGGAGGCGGAGGGCTTGAAAGCTCGCGAGTCCCCGGTGCGAGCCCGGGGGAGTCTGAGCCATCAGAGGTGAGACAAGGGCTGACGGGCCCGGAGGCCACGGTCGGGAGTCGACGACGCTGCGCGAGGTGCGAGGGCGCCCGCCCCAGCTGGGGGGCTGGGCGGACAGGCTTCTGGAGGCAAGTCGCATCCTGGCGCTGCCGTGACTGGCCAGGTGGCCCCGGGCAGGGCTTGCGTCTCTCTGTGCCTCGGCTTCCCCTCCTGCAAAATGTGAGCCGTGTTCCCGCGAGGCCAAGAATGTGGGCGCGCGCCCGAGGCCCGGCCTAGGAGGGGCTCCCCCGCCTCTGCCCGCGCCGGCTTCCGGCGTGCGCGCG